AGCAACAAAGGATACTAAATGAAGGGAGTGACCAAATAAGGTACAAAGAAAACTGGAAGATAGTATGGTCCTGGAAGACAAATAAAGAAGGTATTTCAAGTATAAAGGCATAATTAACTAGACCAAATGCTGTGGATTCATCAAGTAAGATGTGGCTTGAGAATTTATTATCGGATCTAGCAGTGAGCCACAGGTATCCTTGCCAAAAACAGTTTTGGGGAAATAATAGGGACAAATGTCTGAAAGGAATGGGTTCAAGAGCAAATAGGAGGAAAGGAATTGAATAAATGTAGTATAGGTTGCCGAATTTGATAATAAGAACAGTGTATTAAACCTTACTTTAGTCTGTTTCAGAGCCCTGGTAGCACAGTGGTTAAGAGCTTGGCTACTTACCAAAAGGTTGGCAGTTCGAATCCACCAGATGCTCCTTGGAAACCCTACGGGGCAGTTCTACTCTGTCCTGTAGGGTCAGTGTGAGTTGGAACCGACGGGATGGCCCCTAACAACACAGCAACAGTGAATAATCCAAAGAGAAATCCAGGAACAGAGTGGAGGCGAGACCATCACCAGTCAAACCACGGCTCCCTCTGAGAGGAGAAAACACAAGAGTTGAATTCCACGTTTCAGCAAAATTTGACATCCAATTAAAAAGATGTTGTTTTGTAAGCACCCGATATAATCAAATAATTAAGATTAACAATCCGGATGGATTTAGTAAAAAATAAAAACCATCTAACATTATTAAATCTACCTTGTTTTTACAGGATTACCAATCCAATGTAACCTTGTTTTATCTAGAATTTATCAAGGAGTTTGGAGAAGAAAAATAAAGAGTTCGTTGTTTGTACAGTTAGATTAAATCACTGCTGAGCATTCTTTGTCATCCAAAGCTGTACCTGAGTGTAAATTAACAACTTGACTGCAATCCTGTTGAGTGTATTTAAAAGAACTCTTCACATTTTGTGCTAGCACAGTCCCATTAACCATAATCAGGAAAGGCATGTTTGAAACACAGAAGTCATGTTCCTGAGATCTTTGTTGTTATTGATGCAAGCTTTTTCCCCCTGGACTGTATTTGCTGGCCTCTAGACTCAGTACCTTAGGTTAAAATAAAGTTTCTGGCATAACTTTTGTTATTTTTCATGCATATTATAAGTTTTATCCTAGTTATTTTTCATCTGTTTCATGACCGTGCATACGTTTTAACATAAAAGAAAGCATCCTATAAACCTGTTTTTATCCCTTGCTTTATCCATGTGACAGCTTGTCATTGTAGCATTTGTGTATTTCAGGGTATAAAAGTCATAATTTATTCATAATTCTGATTCTGACTGATTCCTCCTCCCCTGCTTTTGCTATTATAAAAATACAATGAACTTTCTGTATATACTTTTCAAATGTATTTGCTTATATTTTCAATATATGTCAGTTATTTTAAGAATTTCTCACATATAGAGTATACAGATTATTTTTGTTGTGTTTTGTGTTAATTACCTCTGAGGATTAGTAAATTAATTCCACCTGTAATTATTTCTGTAGCAGATAAGATTGTTCTGCGTGATGCCACCATATCACAAATTGAATTTGATGGTTATAGTTAATTGAGATACAATTTACAAACCGTAAGGTGCACAGATATTAAGTCTTCAGTTTTAAACAAATTGACAATTGTGGGCACCTCCACCTGACTTAAGATGTAAAATATTTTCAAGACCCAAGAAAGTTCTCTT